GGCACCGCCGCTCGAGTCAACACGACCGAAACGGCTGTCAGAACAAATAAATATATGCCGATAAAAGAGGCCATAGAGGCTGCAGGACTGGATTACTGGTGCATGTCTTTATATATGAGGAGGAAATAAAGTACAAGTGACTCAGTGCAAATAGAAGTACAAATGATGCGCCCATTTAACTGTAGGAAAACAAAGTGCACTCGAACTGGAAACCCTTCGCCATTTGCCTTCTAGGTACAAGTGCTGCAGTTATGCACTTCAACAGTTTGTGAGAACATAAAAGCATATTTGGGCATCCTGCAATCATACAAGTAATTTTTTTTCATCAAGATGAAAATTATAATTTTCTTTTCTTTTTTTCAAATAAGAGCTGGACTGGCGAACAATAGTTCAGTCATTGCCAGGGCAACCGTAAATCCGTCAGAAAATAAAGGCATGCAGCCACAATAAGCGAATACGATGAACCATTTTCCCTTATTACTGCCTGAAGTCACTTTTCTTTACTTAAAAAAAAAAACACTGCAAACCACTCTGAGGAAAGAACAGCGGATTGTTAACTAAATGGATCTTGAGGTGCAGTATCCTCCTCGGGTTGCCGTAACAACCGGCCAGGCCCTTTTTTAAAACCCTTCCATCCTAATTGATGCTTGTTTGAGGGTCAAGTGCCGCTTCTTCCTTCCCCCTCTACTCCATAGGTCATCAGACATTCCCATGCCAACATAGCTGACCGTTTGGCATTTTAGCGCACACTTTTTACAAGGCTCACATCAAGATTGAGTTTTCATCTTACATTTATGCATTGTTTGAATTTGTATTGATTTCGTTTGGGGTTTAACGGGATCAGTCCACTTGGAAGTTGATTTGAAATTGCTAATTATGTGTTTTGCCATCTCATCTTCCAATCTGCCAATTTACATTTTCTTTACAGATTCATTTAGACCATTAGCGCTCACCAGAGTCGACGTTTGCCTGAGTTGACCTCAAATTGGCCTTCTGCAAGATTGCCATGTTCAGAAGCTGACACTCATGGCAAATGTTTGGTGGAAACTGGCAGCTGCGAGGGATTTGATCCATAACACTGGGCCGACTGAGAAACATATCTGGAGGAGACGATGCCAAAATAAATCAAGGTGTATGACACCGCTAACACATAAAAATAACACAAACACCTTCATAGGTTGATTTACATTTTCTGAGATAATATCTCTCAAGGTCCAATAAAACTTGAGTCCACACCATCGTCATATGCCTGAAGCATTGTTACATACGGTGTGGATACAGTATTAAAGCAGGTGACAATATTGTTCTGCAAACACCTTCCTGTTCTCTGTCAAGTGCCAGGTGTCTTATTTAATTTTTAAGTCCCTATAAAGAGGATCCATAAATTGTTTGCTAAATACATTTGACATATTTGAAGCTAACCACTGAAGACAGGTGCAAAGACAGAAGCCATGCAGTCACTAATTGTGGGAATTTAGTGTTAAAATGGGTTTCCATATAATAACTTGAACTGCCCAGTGACCACATTATGTCCCCACTAAATGAGTGTAAATCGCCTTGTGTTTTTATATGTGTATAAATCTCTACAATTTCTAAGTGTATTCCAGAGTAACTTCTCAATTTTGTTGGTGAACCTAAGAATGTAGTTTAACATTATGCAAGCTAGTGTCGTTTTCACAGTGCATGTAACACTGCTATCTTCAGCTGTGGTATTGAATTGATAATTAGGGTTAATCGAGCAGGGTGTGTTTGCATCACCTTAAGCAGACAATTCCAAAGCATTTGAGAGGGGAGACAAAGGCTTGATTTATTACTTACTCTTTTCATATACGTGGCGATTTTTTTTTAAATCATTCAAATTTGGCAGGGTTGTTAAAACTGTTCTGTGTATCAACGTCTTTAATTTAGTTTTATTATAAAGTGTTTTATCTTCTCTTTATGCATGTGTGATATTTAGGAACATTTCATGTTGATTAAAAGATCCTATGTACATTCCATCAAGATTTTATGTTGACAGTTTGTGACGAGAACAAATCATTTCACTTTATATTATTCCTTTTGTCTCGAAATTGTAACAACTTCGAAGTCAACAAGCTCCAGGGAACAGTATGTTAGACTTCGGAATGTACAGGGTGACAGTAACCGGTAGCGAGTTAGGATGAACAGTGTGGAACATAATCAGTTTTGACATTAATCGTGAATGTACGATTGTTAGTCTTTACCATCATTTGTCAGTACAGTTGGCTCCGTTTTCATGGTAAAGATTCTTCGCACTTTACAGCTGGCAAACAGGGTGATGCCATCCAGGGACAAAAATTCGGCAGCCTTGAACAACTCTCCGGTAAAGGACACAAGGTCAACAAACAACATGGTCCACTGAGACAAGAGCGAAAGGATTTCATATGGTAAGGGACGCAGAGCTCACCTAAAAATAATGACAGCATTTCTGGGATGAGTCAGATACTCACAATATTGCGTTTCACTCCTGCCAGAGGTAGTTTTGCATGCCAGAGTGTGGCGGACAACTCTTTATGCACGGTCGATAAGCAGAGTCGTCGCTTTAGGTGGCCGGCATCTGTTATTCTGTAGCAGAGGTAAAACAGGGAATGTTGTGAATATACGATGCCGTGACCACAGAGGCAGTTTGTGAGTGCTGTGAAATCAGTGCCGAACACATACAAGCGTGCATATGCGCAGGCATGCAAGCACACACATGCACACTGACAAAAAAAAAAAAAAAAGAAAAGAATGAGAACATTTCACCTGAGTCTAAAAATATGATGCATGAGGAATATCAAAATAAGCAAGTTGTATTCACGAACTATTTTCTTCTGTTGCTAGTTTGCTTTTCCAGAAAACAAACAAACCCAATATTCTATTATTGGTTATAAAGTGTCAGTTTGACTGGTAGTTGGGTGCTCCAAAAAGATACGACATTTTGGAATAACCTGAACGTCATTAGAATGAACTGTTTTTGACACGATATCAGTATCAACCACAGATTTTCATTTTATTCAGTAATGTATAGTTAAAAAACTATGAAAATTACAATCTGCTCAAGTTGGAGCCTGGTTTATGTATTTGAATAATCATTGTCAAGAACGTTGCGGAAATCTTTGCCATCAAAACATTGACAAACTTACACAAGGTCCATCGAAAAATCCTTGCCTTGAGGAATATAGACCTGGATGGCCAAGAATCTTTGGAGAAGTCCCACTAAATAAATGAAATCAAGAACAACGTATTATGTTAGCAGCAAGGTCTTAATAATCATGAAAAATATATTGCGTGGAAACTCCTAAGACGAATACAATCCATTCCATGGGGATTGCAGACTTGCAAATTGTTCTCATTTAAAAAAAAAAAACAAAAAAAAAAACAATAATAATTAGCATTTTATGTACACTCATATTCAAAGAGCTTTATTCCACCGATACATTTTTTTTGTATGTTGTATCCTTTTCTTGAGTCATCCCATTTTAGTTTAGGTGAGAAGCAGGGACACACTGTACTGGTTGCCAGCCAATCTCAGAGCACATCAGAAACCATTGACATTCACACCAATATAAGACAATGCAATACATCTTTGGTCGTACAGCACCTTCACAAAACAGCTGCAGCTGTAACAAAGCGCTTGCAGAACATTTAACAACAGCACATATAACATAAATTCTTCAATTTATGTAACATATACATTTAGGGAATATGGTTCGAAACCATACAAGCGCAGGGAGAAATTGATGCTAAGATTCAAACCGTGAACCACCAGAATTGTAAGGTAGACACTGTGGTGCCAGGACCACTACTCATAAAATCAAATACCTTACCCAAGACAGTTGAGTAAATTGTCACCTGGTGTATTTTTTGTTGCATATAATGTGTATCACGTGCAAGATTTAATGCAACCGTGTATGAAGTTGATATTTAATCAATTGTAGTGCTCATAGTTTGCTGAGCAGCCAGACCTTGTCCGATGTCGCACTAAATCCACTTCCGATTGGTTCATGACACTTCTTTGCTGGTATCCTTAGTATGGCATCTCTCTTACACACACGCACAAACGCACGTACGAAACTGCTAAAAAGGGCAACAATTCACTGGGTTGATTTTGGATTATATTTGCATAGTGTCTGTTCGCACGCCCCATTTTGTCTGGTTCTTGAAGCACGTTCCAACACAAAATAATTTTACTCCAAGTCCTACTTCCTACTTTTCAGGTGCATGTTATTGTTAACTTACGTGACATTTTCCCATTCTCTGGCATTTGCATCTTCACAATTTTTCCGCTACCCTCCAGACAGTAAACAAATCCTTTGACTTCTTTGTCGTACTCCTGGAAAAAGATATAAGATTAGTTGATGGAATATATTTTTGAGTCACTGACATCCTTTCAGCATGTTCATGTTCTTGGTCCTCTGCAGTCAATAATTTCATACTGGTTGTTACTTTGTGGTATGCGTCTTCAATAATGAATTCAAGGACACCTTTAGTCGATGTTTTCCAGTTACCTCAAATATACCAAACCAATTGCACCTGTTAAGAAAAGATCTTTTCTCACTTTACGTATAGCAGACTGGCTTCCACAAAGTTTCCATTTGGCCACGGGGTCTTTCCCTTGTGCACTGAACACCTCCACCCCGGCGCCACCCTGCAAAACAGGCAAATTGTATTCACCATTTAGCTGTCGGATGTGTTTGATCTGCAGAACTCCGCTACGAGAACATCTTTTAAACACAACACGTTTACCTGATAATTGTGCTTAAACATTTTCTCCTCCTGGCACCTGAGCGGACAAAAAGATGGCTGGTCAATTAACTTTATATCTAGCAATTTCGCATTAGGTGACTTTTAGGGCGTGTAGCCGAAAAGAGCAAGCAAATAAACATCCGTGGTATTCGTTGCCATGGTTACCGCAAAGCGCCGCTCGCAAAAAGAAAAAAACAAAACAAACCACCTCAACCAATGACCGAGCGTTGCTCACCGCCAATCAGAGATGTTGTCACAGGTGAGAATACACCAATCAGTGACCGTGTACGATGACTGCAAGCGCCACGTGGTTTCGAAGCGAACGAACGACGCTCTTGTATGTTTATTCATGCGTATATAAGTACCATTTGTTGAACAGCACAATAACTAATATTGTTTCGTTTGTCATCTGGCAACAGGTAAAGGGTGAAGAACGTGTGAGCATGACATCAGTTTGTTTGGGGAGAATGACGTCAACTTACGTAAGTCTTCCGTGTACGTCAGAGTACCGTTTTGGTTTGCCCATCATGAGCACGTTCACTTTCATGTACAACAAAGTATGACCGATAAATTATATTACCAAATTTACAATCCTTTCTCACTTTACGTGTTTTTATCCCCTTGTCTTGTCAGAATGGTGCACAAGTGGTTAGCACTTCTGCATCACGGTTGAAAGATTCGCTTCGAATCTCTCCTACCTGTGTGGAGATTGTGTGGTATGATAAGGTTCCATACCACGTTCAAAAATGGTGGACTCCAAATTGATGATATTTGGGAATTGTGGTTTGTTTGTCTGTGCCATGAATTTGCCAGTTACCTAAATAAGGACGAATGCTAAAGGATGAGTTGATGGATGTCTTTACAAAATGTTGCTGCAGGAAACTCAAAATGAGACACATAAATACCTGTTTAGTATTGAGTCTGATTAGTGTGCATTGAAAAAAAAAGCACACAGCCAGCCATCAATTGAAAACTGTTCTTCATCCAGGCTGAACAACTTCTGCATGGAAAACTGAGTCATTTAATGAGATCCTTACTTCTCCAAAGCCAATACATTCTTTTTTTTTGTCGAGTCAGTCAGGAAGGTAATATCAATACTTTATGTTCATTATTGAGCGCCAGTACGCTGGTGTTGTATGCCGGAGTGCATTATATTGAAAGGCGCTTTCGATTTATGACTAGATGTTTTAAAGGAATAATCTAATAAAGAGCTTTAAGATTCCAATCCATAAAAGTGAAGTGCAACTAGCAGGAGGGAGAAGGCCCAAAGAAAATGAATAATTTTTGAGTTGTTAAACCATACTGCAGGACAACCTGGAGTTTTGAATATGAATAACTTGGTTAACCTGTTTAAAGTTATCGGGTTTGTGAATTTAACAATTCGCCGAGTATGTAGTGGTCAGTCTAAAGGACATTTACATCTCAATAAGGATGAGGAAAATTGAAGTCATCCTTAATCCTGGAGGCAAATGAGTATGTTAATTTGTGTTAAAAGTCACCATAATGATAAGTGGTGGTGAATATTTTTCATCATCCCGAGAAGTGTCCAAGTAGCTATCTTACCCACAGATGTTTTTTTTTTTAAATAGAAACCTATTGAAGTTGCGTCTTTCTTCAAAATACAAGGTGTCATCGTGGATGTTTTGGTTTACTTAAAGAAGCGAGCTATTATGGGATCAAGAAGTTGTCTTGCTGGGGTTTAATTAGCCTGAGGACGGCCGCATGGCATAACAATCATTCGCATGTTTGCAGCCATCTGACTTCAAACGCGGCATGGTCTTAATTATTTATTGCGATCAAAACAAAAGAAACCACAAGCACTGTCCCGTTATGCTCGCAATTAAAGTGACTTTTGTTGTTCTTTGCGTTGCTACATGTTTGATGTCACTCGTTGGAGCTAACATCAAAAAAAAAAAAAAAAAAGCTTCTCAAATGCAAAGACATGCGTGTGGTTAAAATTAAACATTAATTGTACACCTTTGTACTGCGAGTACAAAAATAACTAGAGTGACACTCAGGATGATCCTTTAACGAAAGCAATTGGAGTTTGTCCTGCCGCAGATCAGTTTGTCACTTCTGGTTTTTGGAGGAGGACATAAGTCTAAAGGAACAAACAAGTTTTCATTCTGAGGTACAGAGAATCGTTCCATCCTCATTCAAATAGCAAAAAGGGAATATATATGTCAAATTTGTGGAGAGCCACATTTTTTTTTCTTCCATTTTTTAAATTAACCTACTTTCTAGTTCATGGTGAGGGCCATAAGACTCCAGAATCACATTTTCTTTTTTTTTTTTTTAATTCTTAAAATTGAAAAATCTATGATCAGTATCAGAACTGGTAGCGGCGGAGCTCACTCATGGATCATCGGAATCGGCAGCATAAAACCTGGATTGGAGTATGCGGGCTACTTTTTGTTTCATGCATGATGACATATAGTATATGATTCGTAAATGGGGTTGAATCTGGCTTACTCCAAAAAAGGAAACAAATAGCAGTTTCTATTCTCATGCAAGAAGACAAAAAAATATGTTGTGTGATTTAAATGGCAATAATAGAATTTTTCATTCAAGACAAAATATAATTTGTCGTTTTTGCATACATTACTGTAGCACTATCTTTGTGTCAGTTCAGTGCTTTGCACAACACAATGCGTTTATGTTTATTTGTCCATGTGATAGTTAGCGCGGGCCGATCAATGGGCATCAGCAGACCAGTGCCCACCCGCCAAGATCCTTGTAACCCTTCTGTTATTTTCAGAGGTTCATGTGCATAGAAGTAGAATTTACAACATACAGTTTGGCGATGATTAAGCAAAGTTTAGTTTTGTTTTGATTGAAACGAAGGACAGATTGACAATCCGTGCGTGGAGGTGCAGCTAAGTGTCTGCTCCACCCCCCCCCCCCCAAGTACTGTATACACATTTTACTTTGTTTATTGATTTTCAGCAATTCACATGAAGACTGACAGGCTTTTACTACTTCCTGACATTGACATGCCTGCCATTCTCACACTAGAAAAGGCGCTCAGTAATGGATGGACTAAATGTACTGTCTGTACCCCGTCTATGTAGGTCACTGCCACTCACTTGTATTTTTCATTTTGCTCAAATGAGGCTGAACTTCTTTTCACATCTATCAACCTTATCGCCATTGCCTTTTATTGCTTTTTACCTCTGCCATTTGTGAAAGTGTGAAGGCCAGAGGTATTGTTTTGATAGCTGTTTGTTACACAAAAACCACACAATTGATTCCCGGGAACGTAGAAAGCTGAAAATTGGAAAATCTGAATGTTATTTTTTGTCATTGTTTGAGGTACAAAGGAGCAGAAAGTAGCCAGCTAACGAACAAAAACACATTTCACATTTTTGAATGACTCACTAATCCAACCTGCATTTATATTAGTCGTTTTAAGCAGAGGATAAATCATATATACCCGTTAGTATTGTTATGAGTGTCTACATGTGTTGCTGCACCGTTTGGCTTCACATGTCCATTCCTGCAAGCCACATAGGTGCCATTAATTAGCCTTTCTATGATGTTTCATTGTTAGCTGAAAGCTAGTGCACCTAAAGGTAAATAGACGTGGTTGGTTTAATAGACATAATAGGTACCTGTTTGTTTGATGTTTAGTTTGACAAGCCAGTCACTCACAGTCTGCTGTGATATCTATGCATCCATTAAATGAATACTTCTTCGCTTATAGGCCATAAGATACTTACTAAATTGCTTGCTATTCTGCTGTTTCATGATTACATGTGACTCCTAGGTTAGCTTTAGAATTGGCACCGCATCACAATTTCCTCATTATCCCTTCGTGACGATACTTGTCAGAAGCGTGGCTTATATTCCGCCTTGGAGACGATGATTACTCACTTGGGAGCGACTTGGCAACATGTTCAGCCGCACTAGTAGCTACCAGCCATCTGAAGCTCATTTCTGGCTTGCTGGTGCGAGGCAAGAGACACCAAGCTTGCCTCCACCTCGACACGTAGGTGACGTGCGTCCAGACCAACGAATCTTTTTGGGACCGTCTCGGCGACTCAACTATTGGGGGGGGAAATCTATGATTCTCAGTTTTGCTCTTAAATGAGTGTTTTGATGAGATGCAAAATGTACATTTTGACTCGCATACTACGATGCTAAATGTTGTTCTGTCTGTCAACTTAGGGGTGTAAAAACGTACCGCTCTTGAATCGTATCGCACCTATCGACATACGTATCGAATCGTCTTTTTTGATCATCTTCAAGAGGTGCCGACCTCGAATAAATCGGTAAATCAATCAATCAATCAATCAATCAATCAATCAATCAATCAATCAATCAATTTCAAAATTTCAGGTGCTATATGTCAACACATAAACCCTCTAAATGGTATTTGATCAACAGAAATATTTATGGCTGGCCAGGGTCATCGTACCTTAACTGGCATAGTTCCTTGTTCCCTGTGCGGGGTGAGTTTGTATCTTGTTTAATTAGACGGTTCACTAATGTCACGTTGTGGTTTGACTTATTTCAGATGTCTGTAGATAACCAGGCACCGGGGGCCCAGTGAGTCTGCATGTAGTTAAAACTTTGTGCTTGTTAACTGTAATTACATGGGGGGGAAAAAACATTTCCCAGCATGCAAACACAATGTACTGTGTACTCGATTGTGAGAGTGCTGTGGCCGTAGTTCAGTGAGCCGGAAATGTTAAGGCTAGTGCAGAATTGGGCTTCATCCATAACTTTTGAAATTACAATTTTAACTTTCTACCAACCTTTCTTGCACTGCACCCGATAATGAAGATTGCCCACTGTATCACTGATTTATGATCGCACTGGAATGCAGATTGTGTAAGACAAAGCAGGGCACAATGAAAGGTTCATTAGTGACTTTTTTTTTCCCTTCCCCTCTACAGGAATGCTTTGACACTGATTGGGACAGACAGCATCATTAAAATACAGCTTGGCATGCAACGAGCACTGACAAATGTGGTATGGAGAAATCAGTTAATAAATCACGCTTGTTAGCGCACTTGATTGTGATTAATAATTCATTATTTTCAAAATAATCTGTTCATTTGCATCTATCAAAACACATCAATTAGCAAAGGCAATTTGGGTTTCTCGCGCAATGTAAATTGACAAAAACCCAGATTTTACTTTCCATTAATGAAACTTTGCATGTCGTGACGGCATTTGCATAATTGGACCTGCTATAATCAGCCAATTTAAATATGTTCAACTACTTTGCTTTTTGTTTGAAGAGCATTGTTGTCATTATTAGAATAGAAGGCGTAGTATTGCCGGGGAACGTTTATTTTTATGCATCTCACATGATCTCCTCCATCTATTATCAACCTTTTTCCTATTTATTTAGTCCTTGCTCTGCGCTCTGGTGTCAGAGATCACTGCACGCCTCCTTCAGAGTGAAAAACAAATCACACACCACAAAGCTGCACTTTAAACCATTTCCCAAAAGGCCAAGCATAAGCCAAGCCACTTGCATGAAACGGCAGAGGCTTTCATTTCTTTCTTTCCAATTGATTTCTAACCATCTTGGGCTGTGAATTCTCAGTGAAAGACAAATGTCTTTGCATCTTGCCTTGTTGACTTCCAGATTGTTCTTATTTCCAAACTAAAAATTTTCCATGCGTGTCATAAGAACACAAATGAACTTTATGGTGGCTTTGTCAGAATCCTGTTGAAGAAATCGTTGTATCATGTGATTGTGACAAATGTTGTCTGCTCATTCTCAGGCTAGTCGTTTGGAAGAATGTTTTGGGCAGTGTTATTTGGTTATTTACCTTTCCCGGACACAGCGCAGGTTTGATTCCCAACCACTGCCTCGTCATTGTCGATCCGAACTGGATGAAAAATGGGTGGGCTGTTGCGGGAAAGCCATTCAGCATGAAACGGTGCCAAACAAATCATTGCGAGTGACTTCCTTTGGCAACCTCCTGACGGGACAATCTGCATTTAGCTATTTAGCTCGCTTCCGCTTGCTAAAGTGAGAACATACACGTCATTGATATTCATTCATTCGACTGCTCATATTGTCAGAAGCCATAATCGTTTCATTTGTCGCTATCGGTTACATTTTTAATATTTAATCACAGAAACACTCGAAAAAAAGGAAAAATATACATATCTTTATATATTGATCATATACATGCATAGTGTTTGTTGTTCCAACTGGGACTCGGAAATGCTTGACTGACGAACCCATTAATGAAATCAGTTTAATCTCTCATGCTCTTTTCACATTTGCATGCATGACTTCATCGAGTGCACTTTAAAACTGGAACTTTTGCCATTTGGAGTCAGCTTAAAACTGTATGGAAATATGAAAAGCCCAACCTTGACTGTGCGTCATCTATTTCTGGAGCGTCGAAATGAGTAGAGTGTAAAGTTCACAAAGACACTTGGTTGTAATCGGGGTCATTAGTGCGCCTCGTTCTCTCGATCGGCAGCTCGCGGGACAAACTTTTAACTACTCTGACCTCCTTTTGAATTCCACCAAGTCGCTATCCTTACTTTAAATGAAGCTTTGCACAAAAGGTCCTCATTCATTACATTCGCTAATTTGCCCCCACAAGTCCTTATTTATTGGATACGGTGTCTGACCCAAGCACTCTATTCATGTCTCATGATTATCACCAAGGTAGCTCCACCGAAATAACTAAACCCCAGCAGACAGTGGGCTGATAGAAAGTCAGCTTTTAATGAAAACTTTTACACACAAAACCAGAAAATATTGCGTTTAACCAACCCTTTGCTCAATTCGCCCCAAATCATTGAAATTGTGAAAAAGATTCCGATGTTCTCTTTTTTTCTTCTTCAATTTTTATTTTTACTCCACTATTTCACCGATTTTTTTTCACAGTTAATTACTCTTACGTTGTACAAAATCACGTCTATTCTGGGTGTAATTCTATTCGTGACCACTAGATGGTGGCACACAATTTACTCTGAAACAGTTGTATATTTCACAGAAGAAGAATGTGAACTCAGCACAGCCGAGTTTGTGCTGACAGTTGTTTGATGTCATCTTCTGTAATCCTGCTTTAAAACGCTACGGAAAGCAACAGCAGAATGTTAATTGTATAAAGTAAAGGTGTTTATGAGATGCTAAATTAAATTTGTTACTGTGTAAGACAAATGGATTGCTTACAGTACTGTCAACACAGAGGGATCGGTACGCTGTTACGCTGTACTGTAATATGTTCTTTAATTCTTTTGCGTTCACTCAATAAATTATACTTTTAAACGCGTTTGCATTATGTGTGTGTTTAAACACTTCAAAAGTGCCATAAATGCTACAAAAAAGTGCCTAGGGAGTATTTCACAAGGTTGAATCTATATCAGGGAATTCACTTCTTGTATTGGGAGTCTTGAACATAACCCGTCAAACGACAGTCGTTGTTGTTACCACGGCAATCCAAGATCATCAACTTTAGTGGTCTGTGTAATATTGATCGACTAGCCAGGACACATCCTATGTTAGCACGAGCCAAATTGCTAATGTTGCTTTTTGGAGTTTGTCTGGATGTATTACTCACAGTTTAGTTTCAATTAGAATTGGTTGATTTTCTCTGGTGTCATGTAAACGTATTCAATTACTGCATTGCATTTCTGTCTTTGTTCTTACTGGGCTACTTTAGCAAGCTCTTTCTTGCCCGACCCATCAGTTTGAAACTGATATGTTCTGACATGGACCCTGTTGCCCTGCGAGAGCCGCCTGTCAGCTGTCGACTGTCAGAACGTCATCCTGGGATTGTGTTCCGGTGCTGGGTCTCCCAGACCTTCTCCTGATAGAGTTGCATCTCATTTTTAAGAGCTTCCCAAGGCTTTTGTTGAATGTCTTTAATGAGCTGTCTTCTTTCAGCCAGTTACGGCTTTTATTTTCAGGCCATGATAATGGCATATACCAATTGCTGTGGTGAAACTAAACACAAACATATTTAGTGTTGCTTTTCGTGATGAGGTTTATTCATTCTGTCACCACGCTCATGTCTGAAAACACCTGTCTCTCAAATCACCTTTACCCATTGAAATGAATTTAAATGCAATTAATAGGCACAACACAACGGGATGTATTTAAGATGGGGCCAAATGCAAAAACAACACCCTGGCTTCTGCTATTGGCCACGATACGGCAAGGGATACTGGTGGTTAAAGTAAGTTATTTTCAACTAATAAGGAAAATCTTTCTGTAGAATGTCACTGCATCAAAATGATGGCGTACACTAAATGTGAGGCTCTGGACAACGTGTGGTGTAGATAAAGCGCTCTATAAGTGCTCCACATTTACCATTATGATCCAACTGCAGTTTTTATTTTTCAGATAGTGATGTGTTTATCGCAAAAGTACAATTAGTAACCCATTCGAGTGGATTCAGGGCTCGTTGTTTAATGCCAAAAGGAATAGTCAGCGCAGATGTTCGGTGTGAGTCCGAGCTTTAGTATTAACTACCGTATTTTCCACACTATAAGGGGCATCTAAAAGCATTCAATTTTCTCAACGACAGTACGTCTTACAATCCGATGTGCCTTATATATGGATCAATATTGTGATTATTTGGACGTAGTATTTTAAATGATCTGTAAAGTGCTCAGTTACAGCTGCAGCGCTTGTAAAATCTCTATATAAAGAAAGCTGTATTGTATTCCTTTTAGCATAGCTCCATCTAGTGGATGCATAATGCAACCACAGCCACTATTGTAGCTTCTATTCAATGCGCCTTATAATGCGGTACGGTGCGCCCTGTGTATCAAAACACTTTTAAAATAGGCCATTCAGTGAAAGTGTTCCTTATACTCCAAAGCGCCTTATAGTGCGGAAAATACGGAAAGACAATTCTAGAATAACAAATTGAGTAATTCGGATTGTAGGCCACAGTAATGTAGAAAATGATTTTGGAATGATTCATCTCAATCTAAATTTCTTCGATGGTAAAAACCTGACACCTCAATCCATGTCTTTGCTTGTCCAAAACCACATCCTATAAAGTGGATCACACCCTTAACCCCAAAATGTTGCATCTCTGAAACGTGACATGGAATAATTCCAATACACGGTTGGAGGCACAGAGGCTCCTCTGGTAAATGGGTAATCTGCCGAATGGCGTGGACCACGACAAGCGCGAGGAAAACGCTGGATATTGCCTGTCTGATATGTGTAAAGATAGCTTGAGAGCTGTGTAGCACGTTGCAATGGCAGAGCTCCAGAAAGGAAATGATGGGGGGAAAAATGGACTTAGCCGTATCATGTCACCAATGCTCAACAACTTTGAAAACTAATCTGATATCATTTTCTACCAGGCGGGAATTGAAAATAGCAAAAGTCACACATGTTACAGTGTGTGCTCACGCCCTCAGCTCAGACAGGGCCTGTAGAGGGAATATAATCATTTTGCTGTCTGATTTGAAATTCAAAACCATTTCCAATATATTATCGTGGCAGATTAAAGATTGATTTGATTAAAATTCCCCCCCTCCTCTACATTTAAAGCTGGGGTGCTTTTGAGCAAGGCAACACCCCCCCAGCATCTTAATTCAGACATTGAAGGCAAGATATTATGAAAAATCGACTTTTTAATTTCTTGTATACAAATACTTTGGTCTCTGGAGTGCTTGCCCACTCCATCAAGTGTGAAATTAAACACCAGACTCAATCTTTGGTTCGCTGCCTATTTCTGAACATGTCCGCAAGCCGCTCTGAACGGATTGTCTCCTATAAATTAAGCTAATTTACATTCTATCACCCCTATCCCGAAATTCTCCGCCCGTGACTTGTCATCCGGCCGCTGGACTACATAGCGGCACTATGATGTCAGAGCCAAAAGTTAAGCAGAGCTGCAGTGTTTGCACAGATTATCATTAGCTAAGCGCATTTTGGAAATAGATTCTGATACCCGGCGCATAAGGCAAAGGCATCAATGTGGTTGCGTTAGGCAATGTGTAGGCTGCGCATCCATGGGAAATGTGGAATCGGTTGGCTTGGTGATGAAGTGGTGCCTCCACGAGTGAAAACACCGAGTAATGCTTCGCTTTGGCCAGCTGGAGGCTCACGTTTCTGTTCCAATATAGAATTGAATGATTAATATTGGAGAACGCCTCTGCTTTGTCGATTGCACAATTCAATGCAAATAGTTGTACACAATTTTTGACCTTATTGTTATATTGCAGCTGAATGCCTTTTAACATGACTTTTTTCTCATATCATTCCAACATTCGTCCCAACTGTCTTTTTCTTGTAATACAACTTTTTTTTCTTCCAACATTACATATTCTTTACAACTTAAGCAGAAAATGTATATCATATTTTCCTCATTCCTGGATGAGTTTTTTTTTTCGATACTAAAACTCTATTTGCATAAAATTGTGACATTCTTCTAATATGACATGTTCGAGCGAACTTTGCTGATCGCGTTTAGATTTTATTCTCAGCATATTTTTTCCAGTAATGACTACTCCAATACTTCTAAAATTCACGTTAGCTTTATTTGTTAAAAAAACTATTCGAAATTTTTGGGGGTTATTGTAAAGTGCTCTATAAATACAGTTGAGTTGAGAGTTTTTGTTATTGTACAATTTTCTTCTCGTAACATGAGGATTTCATGCTTGTATGTACATCGTACTTTCTCATTAACTGACTTCTACACAGGATGGCCTCTGTATACAAATACATAAAACTTTAATCCTGCAATAGACACTACTTACAAAAGAGATGCAGGTATTTGGTTAGAGTGCATTTTAGGTTCCTCCCGATGAAGCAGAGCAACGTGTTTACTTTTTTTGTGTGACTTTAAAATTTCCCTTTTCAGTCTAGACCAAACACTCTTGAATATGATTCAATTGCAGAGATTGTGCATTGGGGA